ACAAAAGAACAGAAAATGAAATACCGCATATTCTCACTCATAGGCGGGTGATGAAAAATGAGAACACATGGACACAGGGAGAAAAGTACTAAACACTGGGGTCTATTGGGGGGAAAAGGGGAGGGCCAGCAGTGGGGGAAGCTGGGGAGGGATAGCCTGGGGAGAAATGCCAAATGTTGGTGAAGGGGAGAAAGGAAGCAGAACACACTGCCATGTGTGTACCTATGCAATTGTCTTGCATGCTCTGCACATGTACCCCAAAACCTAAAATGCAATAAAAATTTTTTAAAAAATTACCAAAAAAAAAGGAAATACCGCATGTTCTCACTAATAGGCGGGTGTTGAACAATGAGAACACGTGGACACAGGGAGGGGAGCACTACACACTGGGGTCTGTTGGGGGGAATAGGGGAGGGATAGTGGGGGGTGGAGAGTTGGGGAGAGATAGCATGGGTAGAAATGCCAGATATAAGTGAAGGGGAGGAAGTTGGCAAATCACACTGACACGTGTACCTATGCAACTATCTTGCATGTTCTTCACTTGTACCCCAAAACCTAAAATGCAATAAAAAAAAGAAAATATGCCTAACAGCATGTATATCTCAGTTTCACTCTCTCTTTGTTCTGTTTTCACTAAATATTGCCATATGTAGGATCCGCATATACTTTTAATATTAGAAGGTTTCTCATACTCAATACAGTATTTTCCTTCATGTTCTAACCTTATAAAAATAGTTCTTTTAAAACAGCCATTGCCCATTGTTTTGGTGAGTAAGGTTCTGACAACCATGGCATGTATTTGGGTTACCCTGGTCCTTACTTTTTCATAGTTATGCAGGAAATGAGGCAGGAACAATAAGGATCTGATGAACACAAATCTCATGATCCATTTATCTTCCACCTGGGACCATATTTTAAAGCTGCAAATCTGCTCACTCTCCCAATATGGAGCTTGAAAATACTTGTCTTTGGTTCTTCCACAGGAGAGCTCCTATATTGCTATTGTCTGCTCTTGATAAATTTTTTCTAATTTCGTCTTCAAACCTAGTTGAAATTTGAATTAAATACGCATCCCCCTATCATTTCTTGACTACAAGGCAGCATCACACACTGACTGTTTTTGTTGCCATATTACATTGATCCTTTAAAATCAGCTTTGGACACAGATCTTCAAATCTGACTCAGGACCATGGTCATATCTAGTAAGGTTATGTAGAGGAAGTCAGCTCAGAGGAGTAAAAAAATAAAGTGTTACTTTCTCCACTTGAGGGTAGTTCCTGGTTTCTCTATGGAGTCTCCATCTGGCTTCTTAGCCAAATGATAACATTACAAAACAGAGGAGATAACTGAAGCCTTGCCCTTTATTCAGCTGGCTTAAAGGTTTTAAGTAATTTAAAGAACTAATTAAAAGCTTTCCTGAGTTATTGTACTTTAGATAATAAACCTGATAGTAACATTCAGAATCAAATTATTCACTAGAAGTATAGACTTTGATATAGAAGCTTGGAGTAGGTTTGTTCTAATTAATAGAGAGGAAATTTATATACACAAATGAAAACTTGTGAACTTCTTGTGAAATAAGTGATAATTTTGTGTAAAATTGTGAAAAACTAGAGATAACTTTACCTCTGACATTGTAAGCTAAATTTCTCAACAAATGCCAAAGGAATGGAATAATTACTTTAGTCTGAATCTAGTTACTCTGTTTTTATGAGCAGCTGCATTTTAACAGATTAAAAGAACGTAACTGACAACATTAATCAGTGAATTAGTTTGAATGACTGGAAAATATATTGTCCATAAATCCAAGAAAATAAACATTTTCACATTAGACCAATTTATTGTATTTTTTCTAGCCATACATCTATATTCATAATACGTAAATTCATTTTTTAGTTTTAGACAGGGTCTTGCTCTGTCACCCAGGCTGGAGGGCAATGGTGCTATCACAGCTCACTGCAGCCCCAACCTCCTGGGCTCAATTGATCTGCCTGCCTCAGCCTCCCAAAGTGCAGGGATTGCAGGGCATAAGCTGTTATGCCAAGCCATAAATTTCTCTCTATATAAAACAACATTCTATATATACTGGGAAGAAAACTGTTTTAAGCAATCTAGATAAGAGTTTTAGAAAACAAAGATATTAGGCAATGAAAATAACTGTTAATATACCAATAATTATTGCCTTTCAATAAACTTGCGCATCTGTACTACATATTAATTATCTGACAACAATTAAAATGTCACTTTTCAGAGAATCAGAGAATTTCAGATATCAGAGGCCACGTAATCCAGGCTCTCAGTCCAAGTTGCACAAATTTAATAACTAATATTGGCTCTTCAAAGTAGGCCCATGGTAGTGCTTATGTATTATTACTAAAGAAATAAGAGATTTACTCACCCAAAATGTTCCTAAAGTGCTTGCTTCAGCACCACATATACTAAAATTGGAATGATACAGAGAAGATTAGCGTAACCCCTATGCAAAATGTTTCTTAAATCTTATTGATTTATATATCTGATTTTTCCAGTAAAAGTCACCATTTTAGATCAAGGTGCAAACACTCATATTTAAATATGTTTTTGCCTTAAGTGATTTTATCAGATTGCCCTTAAATTCTTTAGCAAGGCTTATAAATAGCAGCCATAGATAGAAGATTTAGGAGAAGGACTAAATAAAGCCTAAGCTTTATAAGCTCCTATAGAGCCTACACATAAGGATTTGGACCTGATATTCTGTTGCTGCTGTAACAATTTAGCACAAATTAGAAGGCTTTAAAAGAAACATTTATTATCTTACACTTCTGTGGGCCAAAAGTCTTGAGTATGACTAGGTTCTCTGCTTAGGGTCTTTCGATGCCAAAATCAAGCTATCAAGCAGTCTAGCTTTTGTCTGGATGCTCTGGGGGACAATCCCTTTCCAGACTCAAACAAGTTGTTTTGTGAAGAATCAGTTTTGAGCAGTTGTAGGACTGGGGTCACTGTTTTCTTTCTAACTGTAAGCCAGGGTTTGCCCTAATGTTGTAGAGACCACCAATAATCTACAGCTTTTGGACTATCGGGGCTGGAGTCCCCTCCATCTTAAAGGCAAAAGATGTACAGAATCTTCATCTGCTTCTCCTGCTTCTTCCTGCCTTGAATCAATTTCTTTTCCTTCCTCTTCTGCCACCCTCTTCTGTTCTTAAAGGACTCAAATGATTAAATTGGGCCTACCCAGTTAATCCATGAAAAACTCCCTCTTTTAAAATGAACTGATCAGTAACCTTGCTTGTATCTTTGAAGTCCCTTCTCAGAAGTAGCCAGGCTACTATTTAAATAACTAAAGGTAAGAACCTTGAAGTAACTTCTTTAGATTATTTCCTGCCACAGAACTGCAGAAGCGTATCTATTGCACTGAGTGAAAAGTGGGGAAAGGAAAACCAGCTTTACTTTTTTATTTATGAAAGCAGCCATCAACCCAAAACTACTTTTTAAAAGAATTTTGGACTTTTAGGGTTTGGATATTTTGTAGTTTTTTTGTTTTTTGTTTTTTTTCAATGTGAGACTTATTTTGTAATATAAACTTGATCATTACAGAAAATTTGAAAAAAAAATAGAATAAAAATATGAAAATGTCACCCATGGTCCCAACATTCAAAGACAACAACTTGAACATTTTCACATGCTTACAGAGTTTGGTGTGTCTGCTTCATAATTTCTCATGCCTAAGCAAAACTGTAATCACATTTGTTTTGATTTCTAAGCAGCAGCAAACTACCTCTGGGAGAGTTGTTCCCTAGAGAAATTTTGGGGATTCAAAATACTTTATTTATACCTATCATTAGTGATAATAATTCATTGACTTTCTTGTTGAAAGTTGCATACATGGGTAGAAGAGAAAAAAACTCAATCTCCTTACAGGTTAATCAAATGGCCAGTTCAAATAGTTGTGGTGTAGTAAAACGGTAATTTCTTCAAATCTTGAGATGCTAGTTGGTGACATGTTTGTTATTGTGAAAGGTCTATTCAGCTGTTCAATCTCCAAATTTCCAAAGTCTTTAATTGTTATTTGGAGTTTTCACTGTCAACTGGAATATGTTTCCAAATAACTTTATGAAGTATATACAAAGGTATTTAATCTGAATCTTAATATAAGTGAAAGTAGTTTATTATTGCCTTCACATTTAAAATACATCTTAGCTGGATGTAAAATATTAAATTGCAACCTTTTCTCTATCAAAACTCTAAACCTTAGCCTATTCAATTTTGGCATTTGTTGTAAATAAGACTGAATTCAGGATAATTTGTGTTCTTCTGGAGATAAGCAGCATTTTCTACCTGGATGCATATAAAAGTTTGCTTTAATATATCATTAAAGTTGAAAATGGTTCAAGTGTTTTCTAGATATAGGTATCATTGTATGCTTTTTTTTCTTACAAAAACAATATTTTTATCTGTATCCTGTGTTTATAATGAATTACAAATAAATCAGTTCTGTATTCCTGCCTCTGATTATTTTGGTATTATCTTCAGAGACACTGACAACTCATAGATTAAATCTTTACTTCCCACTTCATATGTGTTGTATCTGTGTCACTGTTTTAATCTTTTTTCCCCTTGTACATTGTGGAAGAGTGACTCTGAAAGAATGACTCAGGTATTCCACAGCATTGATCCAATTTTTCAATGTCAATTCAGTTATTGCACTTTCACTTTCCCTGAAAACATTACTATCTCTCTCTTTTTTTCTTACAAAATTCTGTGGGTTTTGTTTCTGTTTCATAGAATCTATTTCTTACTAAAGATGTCAAACAGGGTTTTATAATTTCCTTCCAGTTCTTAGAGGAAATGATTTTCAGGAATTTCTGAATTTTAAAGATGTTCTCTTACCATTGTTTCACAACATTAATTCATAAGCCTAGGCTGTCTGTACAAATCTAGGAAGGTGAGAGCTATATCCAGTCTGTACTGGCCAACAGGCAATGTATAAGAATATCGTTGATCTTGTTATCTGTTCATTCCAGTGCCAGTCAACTCTCTTAAATGGCAAACTGAAAACATAATTGAGGCTTTAGATTTAGAAACAGATTTGATTTGTTAAAAATATTTTTTTTCTATCAGGCAGCTCTTTCAGAAGAGCTTGCTTAATATTTCTCTAATTAGACAGAAAAACTTAATCTTGACTGCTCTAACTATAGTTAGCATGATCTAATGAGAATTCAGAAAGACCTAGTTTTGAATCTCCACTTAATCACTTTCCAGTTTTATAGCTTTTAACAAATTCCACGATCCCACTGAATTAGTTTTATAATCTCCTACTTCTCAAGATGATCATGTGAATTATATGAAATGGCACATTTAAAGCTCATGACACTGACTAGACCACATAGAAGAAAATAAGTGGTAAGCTTAGTTATTATTACACTCCCAGGAGTGATGAGTCACCATCAATTACTCTTTCTTTTTATATAGGTTATTCTCCTTTATGTGGCAGATTTCAGGTAAATATAAAATTCAAATTTATACTGATGAATGTTATGGGGAGGGGCTAAGGTCAGTACGTTGCCTCAGTAAGTGGCATACTCCCAAGAGAGAGACAGTCAATTACCTTTTCTGTGGATATAGATCTTGAATTTCGGAATCAGAAGGCAGAATGTGTCTCCTAATGAATTGCATGCATAGGGCTGTTTAAAGGTATAAATTTTATTTTTCAATCCCATTTCCTTAGGCTCTTTGATCATAGAAAATCCCTCAGGGTTATCAAATACGTTGACAGTCATCTCTTATTGTTAGTGTGAGTTTGTAATATGTGTGTACCCATGCCTTAATAAGTAAATTTGTGGGTAGCTGTTGTACTTCACAGTACTGCTGTTAGATACCATTTTGGGGGGGCAGCTATATTTTAATAAAATTCTTTTCTTTAACTAAAAATTATTGATGTCATATTGCCCAATTTCCAGTGGGTTTTTTTCCAGATGGTAGTTATGAGATAAATTCATCAAATTCATTTGAGAAATACTGGATTGGAACAAAAATGAATAATTTATTTATTCTATTACTACATAAGACCTACAATACGCAATTGTGCATTACCAATCTCTGAAGGAGGCATAGCATATAACACTTCTCATGTTAGTTGGACCACAAAAATAGTTTGAGAGGTAAGTGAGTAGCTGCAGTGAGCATTCTGAGTTCTGCTGAGAAACCTTCACCACCCCTTGTTGGATACTGTGTCCCATCTTCCAGCTTCTGCTCATTTCTCTGCTAAAATTTCTCACCTGAAAATTACTTCTGGGGATCTCTTTCAAGCACTACAACTGTCTTTCCAGATGGAAGAGCTAGAAATGCATGGAAATTTACATTTCCACTCAACCCCACTTCTACACATTCCCAATTGCTGACCCACAGCCCGTGACTGGTGTCAGGGTACAAAAGTCCAACTCTTTTGCTGAGAAAACTCTCAGTCATACTCTAGAACTCCCCGTGGCTTATGCTGAGTATGGGACATCACTTAAAGTTATTAATACAAACTTCCCTGGAGATTGCCTTTTCTTCTTTGTTTCCCCTTATTTGCAACCCCCAGCAGTGTCTTCTTAATAAATCACCTGTTCCTAAATTTTTGCCTCAGGATCTCTTTCTGGGATCTAAAGCAGTAGATCTTTTGCACACAATCTAAAGCAGTAGAATATTTTGGACCTATCAATTCAGAAAAATAATTGGAAATACTGCTATATAGCATAATGATTGCCTTCAGGACACCTGAAAGTGGGTTTTAGAATCTGTGTTTCAACAAGCAGCTCAAGTAATTCAATGCAATTTCATGTTTAAGAATAAAGTAACAAGAAGTATATATTAATTCATATTAAATAAGTATTTATAAAGAAAGCCTTTTGCAATTGCTCATTGGTTTTAGCCTCTATTATCGCATTATTCAGACACATTTCTGTACTTTCTTTTAATGACTTTTACCTTTTTCTCTCAGTTATTTTAAGCAATCACTTCAGCAGAGTTTCACTACCAAGAGTAAAATTTATATTAACCTATTTGAATTTCAAATAATAGTCTATTAGAGCTGGGTGAGACCTTAATGATCATATATTTTAACCCTGTCATTTCAAAGATGAGGAAACTTAAATTTAGAGAAGAAAAGTTATGGCCCAAGGTCATGCAGAGCCATCCCTTGTCTTTTGAATCTTAGTCAGATATTTAATCTTTACACAAGGGTGCCTTTCTATTTTACAGATAATGAGTGAGCTGGAATGCATTACATTTCTGGAGTGTTCATTTTAGCTATAATTCTATTCACAAAAATGTGATCATTGCCTTACATAGAGCTCTTATTTAATATTTTAAACTCCACAAATTGAAATTTGATTTTTCTGTTTATCTTGAAAGGAAGAAAGAAAATATTTAAAAATTCATATATGCAGCACAATGCAATAAAAATTACTAACACCTTCCATGATTCCATTATTTTTTTTTACTTATTGTAATAAACAATATTGGCCTTCCAATATAAAGGAAACTCTTCTTTGTTCTAAAAACACAGTTTAAAGATGGAGAAGGAACAATTAAAACTTCTGTACTGTTTGTGTAAATTTTTTGGTCCAAACAAGCATAATTTTGAGAGGGAAAGAGGATGCTATTAGTAATTATGCTGAATCTGTCCCAGCAAATTGAGATGTGTGGTCATTCTTTCCATAACACCATAAATTTTGCCTCCTCCAAGAAGAGTTCCTCATTGATCTTACAGACAAGCTCTTTTTCTCACATGACCATTTGTCCTAGACGTTTCTCTTTCCTTTCTGACAAGTTATTCTCCCTCTCCCACTTACCCCCTTCCTCCCACCACACACTCACACACACACACACACTCACTCACTCTCTCTCTCTCTCTCTCTCTCTCTCTCTCTCTCTCTCTCTCTCTCTCTCTCTGTCCATTTTGTATCCTCCACATTGGCTAGACTAGGGCATTGCTCATCACTGTTACCTTAGAAAATGATGTCTCCATTTGATTACTTAAGATTCAATGGTATACAAGCTACTAGACTCAACCTGAAAATAACACAACTGTATCCAGTTAAAACAAACTAGGGTCCTCTTTCTATCTTTTGTTTCCAAACTTCTTATCAACATAATTAAGATGTTGATAAAAAGTGCCAACACTCATTTGCTACACACATATTAAACAGCTGCCAAAAATTTTCTTAAAAAACAAAATAGATGTGTTTTGCTTATTTCTTTCTTACACTTTCGATTTTCTGTTACATGAAGTAATCAGAAGCATTATAGGTGTTAGTGACAAATCAGATTATTCATTTGTCTCCTTTTCTTGCAACTCAAGCTAATTCTAATCGCTAATGATTCTTCTAATTACAAGCTCTGTGAATATTGATGTCAATGTAAATATTGGGAAAAATTAATGAATAGAAGGAAAAATTAATAGAAGCAAAAGAAAAAGGTAATTTAAAATCTCTTCTTTATGATACCTTTGCATGTAGCATAATTCTTTTTGATACTTACTGTAATTGGCATCTCTGTCTCCCTTGTTCTAGTATAATAAGACTGATTAAAATATTAGTCCACAGAAATAAAAGCGACATGAAATTATTGGCACTGAGGCAATTATATTACAAGACGATTTTACACTCTTCCTCATGGCATTTGAGTGAGTCACAAAGGTTACATCAGCCACTTTAGGACCAATTTCTGTTTCACAGACTTCAAAAATTTTTCTAATTTAAGTTTTAAATTTACCCAATATTCCAAATACTAGCATCATCGTTTGGAATCTATTGGCCTTGAAAGTACTTGTTCCATGTTTGAGAAAAGAGCCCATGGCTCTAGGGTGTTAAAAACTCTCAATAACCAGGATCAATTTTGCTAACAACCCTTGTCCATAATTACTCTAATTTGATAATTTGTAAAGCCTACAACACATAATTCTTTAGTAAGCAATTTTGCAAATATTTACAATGAAAAAAGGACATATAAGATATTTAATAAGTATTAAGTGAGTTTTTAAAGGCTTTTCATGTATTATCTCATTTAATCTTCAAAATAAATTTAACAAGCAGGAATTATCACTTATTACTGAGATAACAAAACCCGTCTGATAGAAGATATGGTATTTGTTCAATGTCTACAAGGCCACAAAATGACAGACTTATGCTTTGAACACATATTATTTTCTAACTGCAATCCCATGCTTTCAAATACAACAAAAGCCTATGAACTCTAGCCATTACTGAGGCACATTTTGAAATTACTCATATCTCATTCCTTGTTTTTAACAGTATCAATTTTATTATCAGTTTAACTCTTGATGTGAAAACACGTGTTACAGTAGTAGTTAGGGTTAGCTAAAAAAAAAAAAAACTTGAAAATTCAAACCTATGTGATTTGGGATAAGTCACTTAAGGTCACTGTCAATTATCTTCATCTTTAAAACAGAATTCACACATCTGTTTCTCAGAGTTTCGAAGACTAACTGATAAGGTACGTGGTATAGGATTTTCTTCCCTATGAAATAATGTTCACGTGTCAGATATTCATTGTTGTTATAAGACTAGATTGAAAATTCACTGCAAATTCTCAGCTAGGAAGTTTTGTTTTCACACAGTAGCAATGAAGTGTTTACAAATCAGCCAATATTTTATATTGTTATGTTCTACATATCAAATTTCATAACTCCAAATCTGCACATGACATCCAATATTACTAAGAGGCATAAAGGTATCAGAAATTCAAATAAAGTCTCAAAAATTATTTTTGTATAAATATTTTCTATATGCTGATTATATTTCTTTACAATAAGTCAGACTTGTCAGCATGAGGAGCTCACTGATGGTCATATATGTTAGGTTACAACATAAACATGTAGCCTCTATCCACTGTGAACATGTGTATGACTAGGTGGTTATTACTCAACAATTTTTTAAGAAATGTGACATTAGTAATTGAAAAATATCCACTTGTGAACATTGATTTTAAAGCTGGCAGAGAATAAGCCATTTATTTCCCACCCCGTTCTTCCTCTGTAGAACTTAAGAATTTGTATTTGACAAAGCATATAAGATGGATGAATCAGAAAAATTAAGC